ACACAACTATGTACCGGGGGGCTTTGGGGAGAAAAAGGAAAAAATAAAATCTTAAAAAAAAAAAAAAAAAAAAGTTACTTGATAAAATTTGGGTTATTTCTCAAGCCACTTAGGATAATGTACACATTTACCGAGGCTTTAGAAAAAGTTACATTCAAACTTGGTATCCATGTGATTACTAAAAAAACTAAGTCATTGACACATTTTGATACAATGTAAAATTCAAATAAAGTACACAAACACAACCTAGAAGGAAGAGATACAGGTCTCAGAGGGAGGCACGTGTACCTTGACAAGAAAATGAGAAAAAGTGACTGATCATATTTCCCTTTTCGAATTCAGATTTAGATGCAAATTTCCTACGGCTCACATATCTGCTTGCTGACCCTTCCCCCACCTTGACCTATCTGCACAACTTTCCAGGTCTTCATCTGTATCCATCTGTTGTATTGTGTGTACCCGCCTAAAGCATCTCAACTGAGACAGAGGTAGGTATAAATAGTGTGTATTTCATAAGTCTACTTGCATCAGCTTAATATTAGTCAATTCACACATGACACACACAGGAGCGACGGCACGTAGACAGTAAGAGCGAGGATTCCGCAAGGTTCCAGTCAGTTCACACATGACACACACAGGAGCAATGCCACGTAGACAGTGAGAGCGAGGATTCCGCAAGGTTCCAGTCAGTTCACACATGACACACACAGGAGCGATGCCACGTAGACAGTGAGAGCGAGGATTCCGCAAGGATCCAGTCAGTTCACACATGACACACACAGGAGCGATGCCACGTAGACAGTGAGAGCGAGGATTCCACAAGGTTCCAGTCAGTTCACACATGACACACACAGGAGCAATGCCACGTAGACAGTGAGAGCGAGGATTCCGCAAGGTTCCAGTCAGTTCACACATGACACACACAGGAGCGACGTCACGTAGACAGTAAGAGCGAGGATTCCGCAAGGTTCCAGTCAGTTCACACATGACACACACAGGAGCGACGTCACGTAGACAGTGAGAGCGAGGATTCCGCAAGGTTCCAGTCAGTTCACACATGACACTCACAGGAGCGACGTCACGTAGAGAGTGAGAGCGAGGATTCCACAAGGTTCCAGTCAGTTCACACATGACACACACAGGAGCGACGTCACGTAGACAGTGAGAGCGAGGATTCCACAAGGTTCCAGTCAGTTCACACATGACACTCACAGGAGCGACGTCACGTAGAGAGTGAGAGTGAGGATTCCACAAGGTTCCAGTCAGTTCTGCCACTTACCACATGATGTTAACTAAACTTAACCTTACAAACTCTTTTCTCTAATTTCTTCTTTTTCATCAGCTAAACAAATTAATTAAAGAATTCAATACAAAGCCTCTTGGTTTGCTGTGACAGGCAACAAATGGTGGCTACTATGTTAAGATGACGCTATGTTTAACGTGGTGGTAGTGAAAGATTACTACACACTAATCAGCTATTTGTAACGCTACGTGCAGTCTAGAGGTTTGAAGCGTTCAGGTGATTGAAAGGGGAAGCAAGATAGGCAGCCAGCAGGTCCTGAAGGAAGAATGGTGTCTGAGGCTATGCAGAGAACTCAAACCACGCAAGTCCCACAGTGGAGAAGTGACTTCACGAATGCAGTCTGAGTACAGGGCACAAGGGCACAAGGTGGGGAGGCTTGGGATGTCCTATGGCAGAGGGAAATTAGACCTGCTCCCTTCCCTCCCCAAATTCTACAACCCAGGAGAAGACAGTGCTACGCAATCTTGTGATGAGGGGTCAAAATAAGTTGGGTAAATGATGGAAGTTCTCCTCAGAGGCAGGGGAGGCGATGCTGTGCAGGAAAAACGAGAGAGCAAGCAAAAGCTGGCACTGGGTGTGCAGGACTCAGATGTTAACACTTCCCTTGGGGGCAGTGGCAACAAGTAGACAGTAAATGAACACAAATGTTATTCTCAAACCCACAGCTGTTTTTGTTTTGTTTTTGGGTTTTTTTTTTGAGGAAGATTAGCCCTGAGCTAACATCTGCTGCCAATCCTCCTCTTTTTGCTGAGGAAGACTGGCCCTGAGCTAACATCCATGCCCATCTTCCTCTACTTTATATGTGGGACACCTACCACAGCATGGCCTTCTGAGCGGTGCCATGTCCACACCTGGGATCTAGGCCAGCGAACCCCGGACTGCCAAAGTGGAACGTGCGTACTTAACCGCTGTGCTACCGGACCAGTCCCCCCACAGCTGTTTTTGCCTCTAACATGCATACTGAGACAAGGGAGGAGAGGAGAGCATGTGACTGGCACCAGTTATAGCAGACACTTGTCTCCCATCTTCCCAAAATGTGAGCAGACTCAGTCAGCATGATTCGCCCATGATGCACATGGAGATAAAGAACTACAAGGACTTTAGAGAAGGATGACAAAGTAAAGGGCGCTGGGACTCCCATCTCTAGTCCAGGGTATGCTGATCACAATCAAACTAGGGACCTGCCTTAAATAAAGGGATAGTCCAGACCTTTCCCCCTCAGGATGGGGAAGCAAAATGAATGGATTTTTGGAGCTGTATTTGGATTGCTTCATTATGAAAGTTACAATAGGAAAGACTGTGAAGAGAGGGGGAAAAAAGTGAGATATAAAACAGCCTTTTCACTTTTACATGTTCTTCATAACTTCTGGTATATTTAACCTCTGTAAAGGGGTAGACAAAGTGAAAATAAAATTCAACCTGTGCATTGTGTGAGCAGCTTTTAGAAAAGGTTTATGTGAGGATAAGTCTGTTTTAGGTAAAAAAGAACATACCTATAGATTTTATTTACCTATGATAACATTAGCCTTCTTGGATAATCCAAAATTAGATTGTTATAATTAAGAATAAAATAATAGGGGCCGGCCTGCTGGTGCAGCAGTTAAGTTCCCACGTTCCGCTTCTCGGCGGCCCGGGGTTCACGGGTTTGGATCCCGGGTGTGGACATGGCACCGCTTGGCAAGCCATGCTGTGGTAGGCATCCCACGTGTAAAGTGGAGGAAGATGGGCACAGATGTTAGCTCAGGGCCAATCTCCCTCAGCAAAAAGAGGAGGATTGGCAGCAGATGTTAGCTCAGGGCTGATCTGCCTCAAAAAAAAAAAAAAAAAGAATAAATGCAAAATCTTTCACAAGTATTTGTGCACGTATGCCCTTACGTAGCTCAACGATAAAATAACCTATTAAAAAAAAAACAAAACGACTAAACATGTAGTAGTGCTAAATATGTCAGCCCAGAAAAATATCTAGGCTACCCAGCCAGCTTACTAAGGTCTACCTAGAGACAGTCGACAGTGATTGATCCCTTCACAAACTCACTCAGCACTATTATGAATATTTCTACTGCTTGTTCTTTCAAATTTTTACTGAAGCCAACTTTAAGAGCTGAAGTGCATCAAAGCACATCATTTTACAACTGTATAGTTCTTTAATAACAATGTCATTAGTGAGATAAAGTGTATCAATTTTCTCAGGGCTCAAACAACACAAAGATTTAACATGTTTGCTACTGCATGTAAAATGATAACCAAACTTGTTTCAGTTTATAAATACAGCATTTGCCAATATAGGTGCACTTATCCATTAGATGACTTTCTTGTTTTACCTTTAGCGAACTGCTTATCTTCTATGCCACCTAACACATAGAAACTGAGTATTAACCTTATGTTAACACCATTCATTCATTCATTAGACAAATACTTACTGAACACCTTTATTCAGTATTTACAAAGTGTAAGGTATCAAAGTCGAAGAGTTTACCAGGAGAAACGGTCCCGGCTTTCCTGGAGCTTACAGTCTATGCAGGTAAGCATACGTCAGCAGAGAGGCAGTCCGAACACAGGCTCCAGGACTAGGATCCACAAAAGCTCCACGAGGTCCCAGCTCTCCCACTGCCCAGCTGTGTGACCCTGGGGAGGTCCCTTCACCAATGTCCCTGGGCCTCAGATGCCTGATCCGTCAAACGTAGGTAGTCGCATCGTTCCCAGCTCTGAAGAGTCCGAGCCTGGGCGCAGCGCGAGGTCAGCCACCCCAGCGGCCCCAGCCGCCGCGCGCGCTCAGCACCCAGCCGAGCGGTCCGCAGCTGACCGACAGGCAGCCAGGACCCACTCCGCGGGGAAGGTGGACCGAAGGCCCCTCTTGCTCCGGGGCTGTCGCGGCAGGGCATCCTAGCAGGGCCCGGGGGTCCGCCGCGAGGGGCAGACCTGCGCAGCCCCTCCCTCCCGCACCCACAGGGCCGGCCCCAGGCCCGCGGGCCCGCCCCGCTACCGGGGTGGGCGCCGCCCCCGCGCCCCCGGCCGCGCTCCCGCCCGCTGCACCTGCTGGCCCCACGCCTCCCGCGGCACGGCCTCCCCCCGGCGGCGTCACGTGACCGTAGCCACGCCCCACCCCCACCCCCGCGCGGGGGCCCGTTTTTTGGCGCGCGACAGTGACGTCAGCGTCCTGTCACCCGCCACCGCCTCGCAGCGGCCGCAGCGACCTCGCGTTTTAAACTCGGCCCCGCCCCGCCCGCCGCGTCCGCGGGCGCTGCCGGCTCCCGGCCGCGCCGTTAACGGGCCCGCCGCCCCGCGCCCGCTGCCCGCTCACCTTGAGGGGGCCACTGTCCGGGCTGCTCGCCTCCTCCTCGTCCTCCCCTCCCGAGGCGGGGGGCGGGGGCGCGCCCCGGCCCCGCAGCCCCGGGCGCTCGGCGGCGGCGGGCAGGGCGGCCGCGGCGGCGCCGCCCGCGGCCCCGGGGCTGAGCGTCACGTTGTGCGCGTTCTCGCCCCAGCGCCACGGGTACACCATGAAGTCGCTGAAGCCGGGGCTAGTGGGGACGAGCGGCGGCGGCGGCTCCGGCTCCCCGCCGCACGCAGGCTTGACCGGGGTGGTCCTGATGACCGACACCAGCACCCGCTTCGGGGAGTCGTGGCAGAAGATGACGGGCGGCGGCGGCGGGGCGTCCGCCATCGGCGCCTCCACGCCCCGGATCATCGCCCGGCCTCGATGCGCAGCTCCGGCGGCGCGGCCGCACCCCGCGCCCGGGTCTGGCCCTGCGCTCCGCTCGCCCGCGCTGCTCCGAGTGGCGGCTCAGCCCCGTCGGCTCATGGCAGGCGGACGCGTCCCGGAACCCTCAGCGTGGCCCGGCCCCGGCGGCCCGGGCAGGCCCCCAGCGCCGTCGAGCCGCCTCCGCCCTCTGCGCCCCTCCACGCAGGCTGCAGCGGCGACGGAGAGCGGGACGCGCGGCGCCGAGCCCCGAAAATAACAACCTGCCGCCGCGGTCCCTGCCCCGGCTTTTCCCGCGTTACATTTCGCGCCTGGGCGGAGCCAGTCACCGCGAGGCCCCTGCCCGCTGGCCGCGGCGGCGAGTGACAGGCCGCGCGAGCCAATGGCCGCGCCCGGCCTGCCTTCCAGCGGGGCGGGGCGGGGCCGGCTGCGCGCGGGTCCTGGCCGCCGCGCCATTGGCCGCCGCGCTCGTGTTTTTTTCCGCCTGGAGGGCCAACTGCGTTCGAAACTCCGGGGCGGCGCGCGCCGTCGGCGCTGGCCGGTCGCCCGCCGGAGCCCCGCCCCCGGCCCCGCGCGGGCGGTCAGCGCGGCCGCCGGCCGGAGAGGGCCCGCCGGCGGCTGTGGGCCGCTCTTCCCGCGCGCCGGGAGTTTAAAGGGCTGCGGCCCGAGGCCTGCCTGCCGCGCGAGGTGCCAGCGGACGCCGGCGGCGCGGCTGCCCAGCTGTCGCACTCGCTGTGTCCCGGCTCCGCCCGCGCCCGCCGCCTCCACCGGGCTGGGGGCTTCAGCCCCGGCCGTCGCCTCCCCGCCTCGCTTTCCCGTCTGTGTAAAGCGAGGTCGTTAGGAAGTGGTCTCCGCCGCCCCTGTGCTGCTCGGGCGCCGAGGGGACAGGAACGCGGGCGTGCGCCCTCCCTCGCCCGGGGCCACCCCCGGCGTCCGCACCGGCGTGGAGCTCCGGGGCCGCCGGGTGCGGTCGTTCCACGCTGTGCGTCGCCCTCGCCCGGGGACCCCAGCCCGCACCGGAGGGGTGGCTGCTGGACGGCCCGGGAGCCGCAGCCTGACAGTCGCCCGCCGCGCGCCCGCGGGGCTCGGAAGCACGGCCGGCGGAGGACGCGGGGAGGTGGAGCGGCGGCCGCGCTCGCTGCAGCGACGGACGTGGCCGTGGCTGTGTTGCTCTTGGTTGTGTTGCCGCGGCCTGGCCTGACTCGTGGTGGGCCTTCGATCAGTAGTAGCTGAGTGAATGAATGAATATCCAGCAGGTAAGGGTTGGAATTGTAATTAAGTTAGAGCACATCTGCGTAATAGATACCTTTATAGAGTCTCTCTCCCTCTCTCTCACACACATACACAAATACACAGCTGTGCCTAAGTCAAGTTAGCCACAATTGTTTAAAAACAAATTTAACTTATATGAACAACTTCTAAGATACATTTTTTAAGTGGTAGAAAGGGAAACATGGAATAGTATGATTTCATTCATGTAAAAAAGGTGGGAAAGAATATAAATATACATTTTTGCCTTTAGATATACAAAATATCTCCAGCAAGATACACAAGAAATTGATACATCAGTTGACTTCAAGGAGGGGAATTATGTAGCTGGGAAACAGAAATGGAAAGATACAACATATAACTCTTTGTATCTTTTGAACTTTGAACCAAGTGAAAGTATCCTCTCAAGAAATAAATAGTATATAACTACCATTTGCTGGAGGACTACTATAATAATAGCATATATCTACTGATAGCCATATACAATAATATGGATGGATGCTTCACTTGCATTCCACTACCCTCAACAATTCTGGGGGTAGACATTACTATTCCCGTTTTACAGATGTAGAAATTTGAGGCTGGTCCAAGGTCACATAACTCAGTACATAAATCCTTTGGAAGGATGGCTGTGAAAACTGCCTATGGATTATACCTCTCAGAGTCGGCTGAACAAAAGGAGAAGGCAGCTCAAAAATGGGGCGCCACATTTCTGAGACCCATTTCTCATTCCAAAACTTTCAGGTTCGAGGGGTTAAATCCAATTTGACATTTTAATAAATAGTTCATGTGGAAAGCTGAAAGTTCATCTCTCTTTGCACTTAGTAAATATTCATTTTGTTTTTAGAGTTTGATGCAAAATGACTGCACCATATTTTTCTGAATCAGTTGGAAGGGAAATATAATCTGTCTATCTTAAAAGATAGTGAAAAGAGGGGCTGGCCCCGTGGCCGAGTGGTTAAGTTCGCGCGCTCCGCTGCAGGCGGCCCAGTGTTTCGCTGGTTCGAATCCTGAGCGCGGACATGACACTGCTCATTAAACCACGCTGAGGCAGCGTCCCACATGCCACAACTAGAAGGACACACAACAAAGAATATACAACTATGTACTGGGGGGCTTTGGGGAGAAAAAGGAAAAAATAAAAAAATCTTTAAAAAAAATAATAAATAAATAAAAGATAGTGAAAAGAGGGGCTGGCCCCGTGGCCGAGTGGTTAAGTTCGCGCGCTCCGCTGCAGGCGGCCCAGTGTTTCGTTGCTTTGAATCCTGGGCACGGACATGGCACTGCTCATCAAACCACACTGAGGCAGCCTCCCACATGCCACAACTAGAAGGACCCACAACGAAGAATATATAACTGTACTGGGGGGCTTTGGGGAGAAAAAGGGAAGAGAATAAAAAATCTTTAAAAGGGAGAAAAAAAAAGATAGTGAAAAGAAAAAAGTGATATATCCATCACAGATACTCAAATTATGGGTTGAGCAAGATCCAACAGATTAAGCACTAACCAATAGTTACTGTTTAACAGGCCTCAGAGTACAAGATGAATCATTCAGAACCAGGACACTGACTTTCTGCTTCAAAAAATTACTCTTCATCAACAGTAACCTGGCAACTGCACTTGCTCGCCACCACAAGAGAATGAAAGACATGCCAGGAATGTGCAAGGTGGGCAGAGGGTGATTCCAGGAGAAGCGCTGAGGTCATGCAAGATCTGCTTGTTTGGCTCCATTTTAGTGCAACCAGGATGCTGAAGTATGCGGATCATATCCCTGATGTCTTTGTTCTGCCCCAGACCTTGAACATCCCGTAGTGTATACTAACTCTGAAGAATACTAAAAGCCATCTCAGGATACTTACTGTGTTATTACAGTAGTCTTTCCAATTGTTGAAAATGTGGGCCTCTTCTCATAGAGATCTATACCTCAAACCCTCTTTTCAAAAGATATTTTAAAGTTTCAAGATGAAATCTGAATAAAACAAAGCAAGATTTATTTGCACTTTGAAAACATGGTATCAATAAGAGCATCTGAAGCTGCTTGATTCCTACAAAATCTTCTATCCTACTTAGTGTGGGAGACAGCATAATATAAATCCTTTGAGATGACTTATCTTCACAGCTAAAAGTACAGATAAAACAGCTTTGCAAATAGATGTAGACAAAACAGGATAAAAATGCCTGACAACTTGTTTGGAGATTAACAGGAAGATATTTTACCATAAAAACTCTCCAAAATAATTTTCTCAGTGTTCTATTTGGCAACAAACTCAAACTTGAGTTCTAAAAAATCCTCTTACAAAGACAAATCTGGGGGAAAATGGTTTCCTATAACATTTCAATGGAATTTTTAAGTTTTAACCACAGGAAAATATCTGCGTAGATCAGGTACATTTTTCATCTGAAAGAGCCTTCCCCAAAACGTTTCCCAAGAACCTTGCCCATGAGATAAAGAAACATTTTAACATCAGTTTGCCATTTCTACGGTCACAAATGCCCAAATATCTCATAATGAGCAATGGTGGTATTGCTGATTTTCTTTCAGTTTCAAGTAGGAGATCTAACTTGGGTTGCAAGTAAGAGTAAGCCTGTCAGACCAGCTTAGAGAACAAAGACAGAATTATTCAAAGGAAACAAGGGTGTCTAATGGACTCCCAAGTCAGGATTAGAACCTGGAACTGGACATCAGAACCCTTTGGGGACACATGGTTTCTGGCCTCAGTTCCTCTCTCTTTAGATATGCTTCATTCTTGTCTCTCTGTGCACACAATTCTTTGCTTCTCCTTGTACACAGCTAAATGTACACAACCGTACACCAGCCCCTGAGTTATTTATGCTGCACATATTCCAGCCACCAGCAGAAAGAGAGCGGCATTTACAAATCTGAATTTCAAATTGCTAAGAGGCATTTGATTGCCCAGCTTGGATCAGGTGGTCCAGTCAGCAGACACGATGCAGAAGTCAACAGGTAGACTGGAGTCTAGGACCTGAAGGACTGTTCTCAGCGAAGGGGGAGGTGGCTTGTAGATGGCACTGACAATGCAGAAAGTACGTCTTTTTTGGTGAGATGTGTTTTCCACTTAGCAATAAATCATGAATGTGTGTTATATGTCATCAGTATTCCTTCTCAGTGATCTAACTGACATTGCCTTCAGTTGCTTGGGAGCACCATAACTTATTTTTTTCTTTTCTTTTCTTTCTTTTTTTTTTTTTTTGAGGAAGGTTGGCCCTGAGCTAACATGTGTGCCTATCTTCCTCTCTTTTCTATGTAGGATGCCACCACAGCGTGGTTTGATAAGCGATGTGTAGGTCCGTGCCCAGGATATGAACTGGCAAACCCTGGGCCATCGAAGCAGAGCACATGAACTTAACTGCTACACCGCCAGGCCAGCCCCAGCAACATAACTTCTTGAATGATCCCCTATTATTGAAATCGCAAGTTTTTAGTTTGCTGTTTGTATAATCAGTGCTTTAATGACCATGCATATAGTTAAATCTTTGCATGCATCCAAATAATTTCCTCAGGTTATACTTTTCTGAGTAGAACTGATCAGTCAAAGTTTACAAAACTTTTAAATCTTTTGGTATGTATTAGAATATTATTTGATCTCATGTATCCAATTTGATGGTCCCTGAGTTCAATATACTTATGTCCTATGTCTCTTTTTCATCGTCTCCAGCAGCTTTCAAATTGCAGGGCATAGTGTAGGGGTTAAATTAACGTTTGTTAATTGACTAACTTCATAAGTGAATATGTGTGATGTGGTTGGGAAAACGCCAGATTGAAGTATATGAAATTTGTTTAACACACAAATAGGGGATGACAATTGGTGATTATTTAGAATGATTATAAATTGGAATTTGACTCTTAGACAAAAGACAGACCCTAAACATATTTGCAGCTTTTTGCATTTGCCCAGTTCATCTGGTTGATCGGAGGAGGGAGTGGAGTTCCCTGTACGCCATACTGAGCCATTGTTTCCTGAATTGTAGCAGGAAGCTACACGTTCCTGCTCTATATTCAGAGTGACCCTGTAGCACTAGTTGAGTACCTGAACATCTGTTGTCTCCACTTCTTCATAATAAAACCCTATATTGTTGCTGCACCATTGTCTAGTTAAAATTCTACATCTACCATCGTCCCTTGAAACCATATTTGGTCATTGTCAATGAGATATCAGGCAATGTTGTCAGGTGGGATTTCAGGAAACTTCTTTAAAGACAGACCCTTTAGTCTTTTCACCCTCCTTTCCTCTTCCAGCCTGAAATGTGAATGTGATGCCTAGAGCTCTAGCAGCCATTTTGATAAACAGAAACTAAGTGTTAAGGATGATAAAGCAGAAAGACAGAAGGACTCAGTCCTTGATGACCTGATGGGCAGACATACCTGCCAAGACTGCCCAGTTCTGGGTATCTTTTATCTGAGAGAGAAATAAAAGATACTGTCTTTGGTGTTGTTTAAGTCACTCTTATTTATGGAATGTATTACTAATAGGCCAAAGCCATTCCTAACAGGTAGAGCACCTATATCCAAGTTGGCCTTCAGCTAGATGGCTCCAGTACTAGGGTGTTCTGGTGTGGCACACAACCAGATGCCCACCAAAGATTGGGGCTTCCCTTCCACAGTGTGGAATTTTGCCATAAAGGGACTACTCAGGTAGAGACTGCTGTTCTGTCACTTCTACGTCTGGGTGTTACCACGTGACTTGTTCTCAGGAATGAAATATGAGCAGAAGTGATGTGTGTTATTTCCAGACCAGCAGTGTTAAGAGGAGGATATGCCTAACCTGCAGTCTCTTCTCCTGTCTGTCATCTGGATGCAGAGACTCAAACCAAGGACACTGAGGCCTTAGGAGATAGTGGAGCCACAATCTGGAAGGAGGTAGTATCCCTCTGTCACCATAAGGAGGGAAGCCACCAGCCATTAAGAACATCATGGAACTTTGTATGAGTGAGGAATAAGCATCTGTCTTGGCTGAGCTATCGTACATTTTTTTGGTTCATTTGTCATAGCAGCCAACCTTAACTGATATAAAAATTAGTATCAGAAGTACAATGTTGATGTGACAAAAATCTGAAATATGTGAAGCTGGTTACTGACCAGGTAGAAGCGATACAGAAACTGATATCCAGATCTGGATCAATAGAGATCCATGTCATGCAGTTGCAAGACATTTGGCAGAACTGTCCACCTGCTAAGTTGGAAGGAAGACAGAGGTCTACTGAGCCAGTAGCTTTAGGGGAAGTGGTTGGTAAGAGCTGGTGTGATGGTGTGTGCTGACATTTACTTTCTGCTTTTAGCTAGTTGTTACAAGAAAGAGATGGACTTCAGGAGAGAATTGGCCAGTCTGCAAGCAGAAATGAAAGGTAATGTTGAAAAGCCAAACATTTGGGGCCTCTAAGGATTGCAAAAACTGTTTGCAGGTCCTAAACAGTAAGAGACAAGACTGAAAGAGATTTAGGCACCAAAACTTGTACCTAAGGCAAAAGTCGGATCAGGAATGCAGCCTTCTCACCTGTTGTTTCAGAGGTCTTCAGTGTAATTAAGAGAGCTATAGGGACGAAGAAGCAGAGAAATCGATGAGGCGCCAGAATTCTGCCAGAGTGCAGGTAGAGGCACACTGAACTGCCTGGACACTAGCAGATCAGAAGCCTGACAAGTGTCACAAGGAATTCATGAGCAAGGACTAGAAGAGAACGTGGCCAAAGGGAGTTCCTTCCAGGCAGCATAGTCAGAATCCACTCAGTGAACTGCCCCCCACCCCATTTCAATGCCTGCCCTGAAAGATTTGTCGTTGCTATGGACCAGTGACTGCTGTGTGTCTCCATTTTTTCTTGTCTAAGTGGGTATTTTATCCTGTCTGTCCTCCACCATTATATATGTGGTGCAGACAGCTTTTTGGTTTGTAGGTGGTAAGCCATGAGGAGCCACTTTTGGCTTTGTAAAGAGTACTGTGTACCACCTGGATGTAGCAAATGGATGGATCTTTGGAGGAATCAGGTATGTTCTATATGTGAGAAGAAGGATGTTCTTGGAGATGCAGTGGTTTGGGGGAGGTGGATAGCTGTCCACTACAAGTTCATTTTCTGCAGACGTTCTTTTTCAGTGCAAGGAATACATTTCCTAGCCCTCTGTCTATCTAGGTGGGATCATGTGACAAGTTATTGTCAATTAATAGGATTAGAAGTGATGTACTTCACTTCCAGGCCAAGGAGATTACAAAGCAGCTGACCCGATCTCCTCCCTCACTGCCCCATCTTCCCGTCTCCCACTCCCATGCTGAGGATGCAGCAGGCCTCAGGGACCAACGTCATCAGCATCACCTGGAACTTGACAGAAATGCACCCCAGCCCCGAGCTAGAGACTCAGAACTCTGGGGATGCGACCCAGCAACCTGTGGTTCAGCAAACCCTCCAAGTGATTCTGAGGACCATTGCCTATGACAGATAATGGAGCCCAGTCTCTAAGGAGCTTAGGTCCTTCTCTCCCCAAGGAAGAAAATTGTCCTTGAGTCAGGAACACTTCTTTTGGGCTCTACCTGAGTGAAAAATAAAGTTCTTTCATGTTTGAGCCGTCCTTCATTTGGGAATTTATCCGTTTCAACAGATAGAGTTAATTTAACTCACTTGGAGAGATTGGAAAAGGGCTAAGAACCAGGACCATCTACACCCCACTCACCCTGGACACTGAGAACTGAAACTACTTCATTCCACTTACCTTATTCTCTACATTAATATTGGAGTTTTCTTCGGTTTTTTGTTTGTTTTTGTCTCCCCAAAACCCCAGTACATAGTTGTATATCCTAGCTGGAAGTCATTCTGGTTCTTCTATGTGGGAATGCCACCACAGCATGCCTTGATGAGCAGCGTGTAGGTCCACACCCGGGATCTGAACTGGCGAACCCCGGGCTGCCAAAGCAGAGTGTGCAAACTCAACCACTCAGCCACCAGGCCGGCCCCAGCATCATTTTTTCATTCCTCTGTCTTCATTACTTTTCTGGGAGTTTCTTTCCCAGGCAAGGGCTTGAAAGTTCATCAACTTCCTAAAGAAATTCTTCAAAGAAAGACATCAACAGGAAGTGTGTGTCCTAAGATTATTTGAATCCCTATCCTCAAAACCCATTCCTTGTTGTTTCCACCAATCGTGAACTGTTTTGTCTGATATTTACCCATTCTAACCAAATCCCCACATTGAAAGACCTACCTTAAGCCCAGCTTCAAATTCTCAATAAATCCTCTCTTGACCTTTCCCCCTTTGAGAAACTGCCAAAGCTCTGAGGAGTTGTGGTTCTCCCTTACCAGTGGAAGCAATAAGCTCAACTTTGTCTCATCAACAGATTGTGTTGTGATATCTGGGGGCCATCAATCTACAGGGCTAACAAAATGCCACTATATCTGTGAGTTGCTTAGTAAATCTGGCAAGGAGAAATCATGCAAATTGAGAGCATATAATTTATGTGCTTATAACTAGAAGAATGAAATCACAACCTCCCGTCCTCGCTAGACAGAGTATGACCTTGGCCAATGATTTAATAAGAACTTACAGGTACTCTTTTTACAGCCTCAGCCAGGTCTAACATAGCTGAGGGAGCTGCAGTAAAGGTACAGTTCATCGGCTAACAGTGGGATTGCTTTGCTTTCCTAGAAGACCTGAGAGGTTATAATTTGAAAACAGAAGAGAGAATGAAGGAAAAGAACCAATACTGCTCATATTATAATGTCCAGTAAGTAATGTACAGGACAGATTCCCTTGACCAAGAAGTGCCTTATGAATTATAAGTCAGCAGGAAAATACTTCTCTTCCTCCTCATGAGTTTACCTCACTGCTCCTGAGAATTAAAATTTGTCCTTGGGAGTTGGTATGATGAACATGATTATGTATTTGTGTGTTTTATTCAGGAGTTAGCCTGGACAGTCCAGAGAGTAAAAGATATGTTCAACTCCCACTGCTGGAGAGATATCAAGGGAATAAGATTTTGTTACACATGGCTACACTAAACTGCTTCTTGAAACTTGGAGCACCAAAGTCTGCCCTCACTCCCATGCCCAAATGTTCTGTGGGTCTTGGAGAGCCACTACCAACTCCTGTTCTCCAGGCCTCTTCCCTGG